GCTGCCATATGCGTATTTAAAGATTGACGCCATCTGATTGTATTTCCCCAGAGAAAATTAAAAGCAAAGCCTTGTAAATACTAAAAAATTCTTTAATGAGCTGCGTTCTAGTCGTGTATTAACCATACATCTAATCAAACTTAGTGATTGTATTCTAGTTTACAATAAAGGAACAGAACAGAATAATATGAAGAGTCTGAATTGCCTTACCTGGTTACCGGGATGGCACTTTTCTTCCTTAATGTAGAGTCAATCAAATCCAATTGACAAATAAAGTACCATCTAATATGGTTAAATATAAGGCGTTTGATTATGGGGTTGACTGGATAGATTAAATTGGGGTTGCATGAACCCACTTAACAACAATTGTAAATTTCAGACAGACATTTTGGGTAGATACTTATTGTTTCGTGAGGGTGGGTATGTGTGGGTGTATGTTAAATATTTCAAATTGATTGTTAATTATGGTTTAACAGAAATGTTCAAAAGACAAAGTTTATATATGTATATTATATTTTTAATTTGAAAAATTAAGCGAACTGCAAAGCATCTTCGACTCTTATGATCATTTATGGGAGAAATTCTAAGGTATTTTTATTTATTGCAATAACGTACAACATCAATTATTAATTAAATATATCTATAGTTATAGATTAGCCAAATTTAATTCATTTGCAAATATGTTTGTTGTTGCATATTTTCTACAAAACAAAATGACATAACATCTATTAAACATTAAAGTTCGTATACCTCCATGCCTCGAGCACTGGCACTTATCTCAGACACCAAGTTTAAAATTAAATTTTTATTTTTTAGTTGTTCGGGGTAATCGTTTTAGAAGCGAACCACTGAATGGTATTTGACTTTTCACACACTGTAGACCTTCTAACTCGTTGTTTACTGCAGTTTGTATAACTGACAACTTTGTTGTTTATTAACAATTAAGAAATATTGGGAAATCACGATTTATCACCATTTTAGGAAATCATATAACGGACTAAAGTCTATGCCAATATGTAGATGAAATAATCGCTTAACGTAAACAAATCAAAACAGCTTGAGCAATTTAAAAAAATTCTAAATATATAATTAATGTTGTATTATTTATGTATACTTGTAAAACAATAATATTTTATATTTTTGAAAGTATATATATTGTATATATTTTGTAGGTTCTAGTTGGTACGTCTAGTCAGACAAAATTAAGAACAGATCAAGGAGACGTAAACAAATAATCTAATCAAAGGTCGAAGCAATGACAAGTATAAATTATATGTACTTTTTAGTCACATATGTTCGTATGTACTTAAGCTAAAGCTTATCATATTGATAAGTTAAGGAGACGAGCCTCCACCGATCGAATTGTTGGATTGTTGATAAAAGCAGCAAGTCACTTAGTACACACAATTGCACTTATTTCAAAAATGACTGGAAAACACTAGCTAAGGTCCTTAAGGTTATTTTTATATAAACATATATAGAACTAGTAGACATTTTTATTTTAATATATTAAATACTATATATGTGTATGTGTGTATGTTGAGTACTAAATCCTTTTATATTATGAAAATAAGTAAAAATCTATGCTCATTTCTCTTCATTTTCCAACTTTCGATTATCTCTTTATCTGCATACTCTCTTCATGTTGAACTCTCTCTCTTTTATATACAGATGTTTGTATACTATTTACGCGATATCAGTCCGTTTCGTTGCCAGCTGAAAAGTGAAGAAAATAAAATGAAAAAAGCCGAACTCAAATACCCTTCAACCGAGATCTAAAAGAATCGTTAACATGAACATACATAGTCCATTCGATGACCCCAAAGTAGAATAAATACTTTACTTTAAAGAAAAGAGTGACATCGAAATGATCGAGGTCTTCCCATCTGGTTCTTATCGCAGTAGAGTGCGTGGCAACACCTCCTAATAGTGAAAGTGACATCTTCAAAAGAGTATGCCACAAGCAGTGGCGTGGACGTGGACTAAAGCCAACAAGCAGTCTCTTTAGTACAGCCGACGCCTGCGGTTCGTTTTTGTTAGTTGCCTGTCTTGTCTTCCCCGTGTTGTAAGTGAAAGTGCATTTCGTTCTCTTGAATTCTTCGAAGCTCCACAAGTGTCCCAGGGGTCACGGCCAAGTTGAGGACAAGTCTGAAAATCATTTGGTTCCCTTTTCTACAGATGAATGCAATACGTATAAATTATATACAACAGACACACATGATTGCTCAGTGGCTACTTATACCCGTTGATATATGTATATTCATCTAATGAGTCTTCCTAAAAGTCGTTCCAAAATAAATAAGGGGCACGTGTCAATATATGTATGTACATATGTATTTATAAAAATCTTGCGGAAGAAATATTATTTTTCCAGTTTGATTTTATATAATTTCTTTGATACATTTATACAAAAATATTTGTAGAACAAACCGGTTATCATTTACCAAAAAAAAACAAAACAAGACATACAAAAAACACGTATACGCAGAGTGACAAGTTTTATAGTGACTTTTCATGCAACAAGCCCCTCAAAGGGGAGAGATAAGACCTATGTTATAAGTGACACAAGCGAACTCAAAAGGTCCTCTGACTTGACCTTCATAGGAGGTACATGGGCACTAAGTAATAATTGGTTATTGTTTTTATTTTAATGGATTCCCGCAGGAACCGCATAATTTACAGAGCATACTAGTGCCCAATAATGGCGGCCAGTAATGGTAATTGTAAGTGACCTTGCTTTCTACTCCTTGCCTCCTGCCAGTTGTCTGCATTCCCGCTTTACCACAAAGGCAACTATTTCTACCCTGACATCCTGCAAGTCCTGCATCTTCTGCACCTCCTGAGTCCCGCAATCCGCCCAATAATTAGCTTCTCCTATTAATTTTTCCAAGCTTGTATGGTTTGCATGATTTCTGATTGAAGACCAATGATCAAGTTAACTTTGTTTTATTAATTTGATCGCAAAAGTGGTTTAGGCAGGATTTTTTTTTCACTCACCGTCTATTCCACTTATGCTTTTTAATAAATTTTATAAATCCTTAGTTTTCTAAATATTTTGTATGTTGTGATAACAAAATAATAAGCTTTACTTTTACCTTGAAGTTTAATATGAATGTACGTTTTGTATCTGTGTTTAAAGTCTTAAATGAATATTATTATTATCTGTTTCAACCTTTACTATATAACTTTGTATATTTTATAGCAACTAACTATTAAACGATAATAAAATCAAACAATTTGTATGCAAATTAATAATCTTTAATCTTCAATGTTATTGTTAATTCTACAAATGAGTTAAAACAATAACATTTTGTTCACTTCACATATTTTATACTCAAATATAAATTCCCAAATAATTATTAATTATTTTCATAGCCAAAATGAGTCAACAAGGACCTGCCTTCGACTCCAATGCGATGACGCTGACCCGTTCGTGCTCCAGGAGCAGCGGAAGTTCAAGAACGCCACCGGAGACTTGTCGCAGCTCCTCAATTGCATCCAAACGGCCATCAAGGCAACTGCATCGGCGGTAAGGAAGCCGGAATTGCCAAGCTCCATGGCATAGCCGGTGACGTTAACGTCCAGGGTGAGGAAGTGAAGAAGCTGGATGTTTTGTCCAATGAGTTGTTTATCAACATGCTTAAATCTCTTACACAACATGTTTGATGGTTTCCGAGGAGAACGAGAATGTGATTGAGGTGGAGGTGGATAAGCAGGTAAGCAGGTTAAAAAATTCCCATTTTAGCATCGAAATTTATCAATATTTTTATATGACAAATATTGGATAAATCAAAGTTTAAAAATATAGTTTAAAAATCATATATAAGCCAAAAAGGCATTAATTTTATTTCGGAAAGCAGTCCTATGTTAGTTTTTGTTATGTTAATAAAACTGCATACTCATTTTTAAATTCGGAATTAAAATTTTAAAATAATGTTCAAAATTTTAGCGATGTAACCCTTAAAAATTATGAAAAATTTCAAAAATGTATATTTCGACCGACATGGCTAGATCTACTCGGCTGTTGATCCCAATAAAGAATATAAATGATTTATAGGGTCGGAAATGACTTTTTCATAGAATTACAAGCATCTGAGTAAAACTATAATACCTTGCAAGGGTATAGTTACAAAACTATTTATGTCTTACCACATTGTTATTTTTTCTTAGGGTAAATACATTGTTTGCTTTGATCCGCTGGACGGATCCTCGAATATAGACTGCCTCGTGTCCATTGGTTCAATCTTCGCCATTTACCGCAAGAAGAGCGATGGTCCACCTACAGTTGAGGATGCCCTGCAGCCGGGCAATCAGCTGGTGGCCGCTGGATACGCACTATACGGCTCTGCCACGGCCATTGTTCTTGGCCTTGGCTCTGGAGTTAATTGCTTTACCTATGACCCGGCCATCGGTGAGTTCATCCTGACCGATCCCAACATGCGGGTGCCAGAGAAGGGCAAGATCTACTCCATCAACGAGGGATACGCGAGCGACTGGGAGGCGGTGTCTTAAATTATATTTCTGCCAAGAAGGATCCCACCAAGGGTAAGCCATATGGTGCCCGTTACGTCGGTTCCATGGTTGCTGATGTTCACCGCACCATAAAATACGGAGGAATCTTCATCTACCCAGCTACCAAGTCGGCTCCCAACGGCAAGCTGCGCCTCCTCTACGAATGCAACCCCATGGCCTATCTGATGATCCAGGCCGGTGGACTGGCCAGCGATGGAAAGATTAGCATTCTGGACATTGTTCCCAAGAAGTCCACGAACGCAGTCCCATTTTCCTGGGTTCCAAGTCTGATGTCGAAGAAGCACTTAGTTATCTGAAGTGATTTTTATAGTTAACGAATAAAGAAAATTTTAAATATAATTTTTATTAACAATTTCGTTGATACTTTGAACTTTTATAATTATAATTATCAAGTCCCATTTCCCAATAGCCGCAAAAGACTAAATTTATTTTTGATATGCTTACACTTACCACAAAACCACAAAGAGAAAAAGGTTCCTAAAGTGATAATACAAAATCCAACAGTTTGGCAATTAAAATTAACTGACGCTATATAACAATTACTTTTACTTTTATTAATATTTATGAAACGTAAAAGGAAAATATTTAAAAGGCGTTTGCCTTGTGCTTTGGCACGAAACTAAAGCCTTCGGGTACCCGACCCAGCAGCGATTCGCTCAGCTTTACCCAGTCAGCTGCGTTACCGGAACTCATAAGGGTCTCCATTTCGTCGCGTCCACGGTATTTTTGGGGTCGAGCGTTGATCTTTTGCGGAGGAGCTTGCTGCAGTGCCTCCGGTATGTAGCGATACAAGAACGACTGCCACTCGAGGAGAAATCGTCGCGTAGTCTCCACACCTTTGGTGTCCGAGCCCCAATGCTCAAGTCCATAGTTGCAGTACTTGCGCAATAATTCGTAACGTTGGCCAGAAGATGGCTCCCAGGCCTTGTGCTCTTTATTTCCTGGAAAATCCAGGGCTTAATGAGCGCTCCTCGTCCAATCATCACTGAGCTGACATGAGGAGCCATCTTTCGCCTCTCCACGTAGTCCTCGTAGCTAAGAATGTCCCCGTTGCCGATCACTGGCATGCGTTTGGCTTTGGCAGCGCACTCCTCAATGTAGCTCCAGTTGGCGTGCTTAGTGTAGCGCTGCTCCCTGGATCGCCCGTGGAGGGTTACGGCGGAAGCACCCCACTCCTCTACCATGGGAAGCAGCTCGTGTGCTACCGATTTGTCCGCATAGATTCCGGTGCGCATCTTCACGGTGAAGGGCAGACGATCTGACAAGGCCGAACAACTGCGAACAGTAAGCTCAGGATATTTGTGCGCCTCATCAATGCGCTACCTCCACCTTGCTGGTAAATTAAATCGATAGGACAACCAATGTTAAGATCTATGAAATTCACTTGGGCGGTCTCTGCAATGACCTGTGCAGCCTGGGCAATCATGTTTGGATTGTTTCCGCACAATTGCACACCAAATACGTCCTCGCTTTCGTGGCGCTTGGTCAAAGCCCACTCCTGACCTAGGCCCTTAACCAGGGGCATAGCGCAGGCCATCTCGCCGCAAGTGATATCTGCACCGAACTCCTTGCAGATGCGTCGAAAGGGCAAGTTCCCTACAGTGGTCAACGGGGACAAAAGGAGTTTATCGCGGAAATCAACGGCTGGTTTTTGTTCGGCATCTCTTCCAGTATTGGAGTCATAAATCACACAACCCGCTGAAGTTCCAGTATCAACGGTGTTGTTATCCTGATTGACTGGATCAGTGCTTTCTGGCTGTGTATCCGTCGTAGGTTCTGACTGCTCGTTGGTTTGGATAGGCTGCTCTTCTAAGGCACCTTTGTTATTTTTCTGCTCCTCTTTTTGTTTTCGGGAATCTCGTAGTTTCTCTGCCCGCTTGATGAGCTCCTTGCTTCGGCTAAAATCGTAGTCGCGCTTCCGCAGCCGCACCTGAAGTTCTAAAAATGCGATTAGCTAAGACGATTTTTATTCTATATTCAGCACAAACTACAATACCAACCTGAGGTTATACCATTGCACGTAGTGGGAGCATTTTCATTGTACTCCTGCTTCCTTATGTTCCTTCCAAGCTCATCCGTGTGGTTCTTGGCAAACCGACAGCTTACTCCCCGCGCACAGTAGCCTTTTGTGGTGTAAACATAGCACTCAGGGCCAAGGTCCTCGCCCTTAGCCGCCAGAAAGGCATCCAGATCATGAACATAGCGGCAATTTGGCACGGAACAGGGTTCTCCTCCAGTTCCATCAATTAGAGAGTGACAGAGATGCGAATACCGCTCATCCTTGAACACTGGTCGATTCTTTGAGAATACAAAATTTAACTCTCACTCTTCGTAAGAAGTTTCAATAAGGATTATTTTCTCACTTTGTTCTGACCCCGTTTGCGTTCCTTTTGTTCCATTTATTGTTTCCACCGGGATCTTAGCTGCGCCACCTTCAGCTTCACCTTCCTCGCGCTTTCTCTTGTTGGTTTCTGCTTTGTCGAATGACAAGCCGCTCTCGTTGCCTTCTTGGAGAAGGTATCTGAAGGAGATTGTCCATATACTATTAATTTATAAAGAGTTTGGGAATACCCACTCCGGTTTTATATAGCAAATACCCGCCTCCATTTCACGTGTTGGCCTGTTTGCTTTATTGTTTTCTTTATCAATCAGCCGGTCACAAAATAAACGTGCGAAGAACCGGCGATAGTACTATCGATAGCTTAGAAAGAAATTTGAAAATTCAAATCATCAATTTTCTGGACTAATAAGACCTGTGAACTCGCATTTATTATGCTTCTTTAACTTTAAAAACAAAATAGAAAACTAATATATTCCAAAAGTATGGATAATTTTTAGTTACCGCGTTGTTTTGAAGTTTTATTTAATAAAATAGTGTTGGAAAATGCAATTAAGCCCCAAACCATCGATAATAACACCAGCAAAGAAAACTATCGACAACAGAAAACGCATTTGATGGTTCAGCTGTTTAAATTCCTGTTAAAATCCACAAAGGCGGTAGGAATTTATTGCACAACGAAATTAAAATAATCCAATTGCTATCCCGTCGTAGCCCGCCCGAGCCCACTTCCGACCCAGCTTCTTGGACACTTTGCGGCTGGCAGTCCGAGAGGACATGGAGGAAATGGGTTGCCCAAATACGGAGGAGTCGGCGGTCAGGGTGGCTGCGTCTATTTCGTGGCCAAGGAGGGCTTACGCTGCGCAAAGTGGCCAGGGATTGCGGGACAAGCGTGTGGCCGCTTCCAGCGGCGAGGACAGCAGCAAGGCAAGCATATTTGGCCGGCGAGGAGTGGACCAGCGCATCGAGGTACCGGTGGGAGTCCAGGTGTATGACGAGCGCCATAAGCTGATTGCTGATCTCAACGAAAACGATGCGACCTGCATAGTGGCAGGCGGAGGAACTGGTGGCTGCACAGGAACGAACTTTTTGGGACGTCCCGGTGAGAGCCGCACTGTGAATTTGGACTTGAAGTTGATAGCGGACGTAGGACTCGTCGGATTTCCCAATGCCGGGAAGAGCACGCTGCTTAAGGCCGTCTCCAATGCAAAGCCCAAGATTGCGGCTTATCCCTGTACGTAATTCGTTTGCTTGCATTAAGCGATTTCATGAAATAAATATTGTTTTCATCTTTAGTTACCACTATCCGGCCGCAGATTGGACCGTGGAATACAGCGACTTGCGCTCCATCACAGTGGCAGATCTTCCTGGTCTTATCGAGGGAGCCCACGCAAACTTCGGCATGGGCCACAAGTTTCTCAAACACATCGAACGTACCCGTCTACTCCTCTTCATGGTGGACATCTTCGGCTTCCAACTGAGTCCCCGACACCCACATCGCGATTGCCTGGCTAACATATATGCCCTGAACAAGGAGTTGGAGCTCTACGACCCAACTCTGCTGGAAAAACCCAGTGTGCTGTTGTTAAATAAAATGGACAAGGATGGCGCCAGCGAGATCTTTACGAAAATGAAGCCGGTCATCACTGACTTGGCTAGCGGGCTGGCGCAATGCCCCGAGGAACTGCGGCCAAAGCAGGTACTGAAGTTCGAGAGTGTCGTACCCATCTCGGCAATGAACTCTACGAAGGTGTCACAAGTAAAGTCGCAGTTGCGGAGGACACTATTACGACTGGCCGAGAAGCAATTCCTGGCAGATGAGGAGCAAATTAAAGAGCAGTTGCAGCAGCGCGTGGGTCTTGTGGGACCGAAAATTACTTAGTTGAAATCCATAACATCATTTCACGTATACTGTGATTTGTTAATAAAGTATATATGTTTTTGGTTAGCATCAAAGTCTATTTATGATCCAGCTTGAATTCTTCTTTTAAGCAAATGAGAGATCCTTAGTTTGAACACTAAAGTTTATCTTTTATATTATTTTAAAAATGTAGAAACTAGTCAAGTACCTCATGTGAGTCGTTAAATTGTTAATTAAAAGACAAAACCTAATTACAAGTTACATAATCCTTAAAGCTTTTAATGAAATCATTGAACTGGTTAATTGTAAAAAACCTTGGGCAGATTTACTTGCTATTTGTAATAAAGAATTTTGCAAATCCGACAATCTTTATGAAATCCACCAATTTAAATTGCATATTTAATCAAATTTGAAATTATTGGCGGTCTCAAACAGTTGGCAAAAAGCTTGCGGATCTGGTAATTTTGGTATTTTCTTGTGCAATTAAAAGGCTCTAGGGGTGTATTTTCGGTATATTCTAACGACCAAGCTGCAGCCCCACTTTGTTGTTGTCTGGTGGTCGTCTCGTCGTCGCGCGTCGGGAGAAGCAAAGCATAATAAAATGATTAAATCCAACAGCCGCCGAAAAGCCTCTCGATTTGCCATTGGATTCTAGTTGCAGAGTGCCATCTGTGAAGTGCCGTGCCCCAGGGCGTGAAATGCCGCCGAAGGACGACCGCCAGCGGACTCCTCGACAATGACAGTTCGACACATACACACAGACGGCCGAGGAAAAACTGGTATATAAAAGACGCCAGTGCAAAAAACAGAGCGTGCGACAAAAGAGAGGAATCGCGCGCGCCCCTAAGTTCAGTGTTCGGGAACCACAACAAGCGATTCGGGCGCCGCGGAGTGGAGCAATCACCCGTCCGTGATGTCACAACACAACCCCAATCACGCCCACCCACACTACCACTACCCGTCCCATACGACGCCGCTGGCTCTGCAGCAGCAGCAGCAGCATCAACAGCAGCAGCAGCACGGCAGTAGTTGGTACTCACATGTTGCTTCCTACCCAGCAGCCTCGGCCTCCCACTCCACCCCCTCTCTCACTCGGCCTTTGGCCCTGCGCCCCCTTGCAAGGCCAACATCAGCAACAACAACGCAAACAACATTATGGGCGCCTATGGAGGAGGAGTGGGAGGGAGTGGAGGCTCGCATGGATATTTCGGCGCCGCTGGCGGTGGCCTCAATGTCAGCGGGGCGGGGGTGGTGCTGGGTCGTCCTACGGCCTTGGGCCAACACGGTGGCATATGCTCACAACCAACTGCTACAGTACCAGCATCATCATCAGCAAAACCAGCAGCAGCAGCAGCACATAGGCCTGGGCCAGCGATCCTATATGGGCCACGATGTCATGGCCGGGAGCTATCCCTATATCAAGAGCGAACCCTTAGAGGGGTTTCAGCAGCCGCCGAATCCAATGGCCCACCTCCGGCACCAGAAATGATGATAAAATGTGAGTATTAGTAGTACAGAATTAATACAGTAGTTGCATGTATAATCGATTTAATAATAATTTCTATAATGATGGGGCCTCTCGGATAACTGTATCCCATAGATAAAGCTTCGGATAGAAAAACTACCTCACACACACCGCCGCTTTTCGGAGCCATTTTCCCTATAAGTAGCGTAATTTCAGCTCAGTTTTGGCGTCGAATCAATAAACATTTGTTGAGTTTCGCTGAGGTTTGGCGCTTGTTTCGTTCGGTTGGTTTCGTTTCCAGTCGCCTCGCCAACTTACGGCTCTGTATCTCTATCTGTGCTCTGTTCGGTTCGGTTCTGTTCCGTACGGTTCTGTTTCTGTTCTGTTCTCTCGGTGTGTTGTGTGCGAAAGTACTGATGTCTGTATGTATCCATTTAGCGAATGTATACTCTCGGATAGATGCTTTATACTACCGGCGAACCCTATGCCAATTCGATTCCTACGCACACACATCCAATAAATACGTTTACATATCATCTCCTTCTCCCCTACGGGTTTCCGAATGGGTTGGTTGTCTTCCAAGTCGTATCTTATGTAACGTTTGCTCCTAGACTAACCTACAAAGTTCCGTCAAAACGCCCGCCCGCCCTCTGCATTCCTTGTGATATTATTTATGTGGGCGGGGCAGATTCGAATTGCGCACATAAATACTAATTTCTAAGGTAATAGATCATCATAATTCCGGTTTTAAGATCTAATACAAAGGTGGAATAATTTCATTTTAAAATATATATTTTTTCCAGACATTTCATTTGTCATAACTCTTTATTATCATTCTATAAATCGATATTCCTTCCACACATACTAATTTATTCTTTTTGTTTAAGTGCGGTTTAGCCGGGTGAAAGTAGGAGGGGATAATAAATATATATTGTAAATATGAAATATATCCGATTGTACAAAGTACTCAGAGCTACAAATCTCTATATTATGTGTACGCACATATCAGACTTATCAGCTGGGATTGGGTGGGAGGCACCTACGGCCTTAAAATATTATTAGAAAACCATAGAAACCGACACTGGGTACATACTTTTTCATCTGCGCATAGTTATCCCGGACAGTGCACTTTGTAAATTTTTTTAACACTAATAATATAAATAAAATCAGAAAATTTAAACAACTCACAACTATTCCAAAGTTTGTTTTCATTTACTAAGGCGTTATGCCTATAAAGAAGTTGAAGAAAATCGATGTTCCCGTGGGAAAAAATAATATTTTTCTATTCGTGTAGTGGGCTTTACAATATTCGTTTCAAAAAATAAATTATTTAGTATATTTATATTCTTCAAACTCACAAAAAACATTCTTCTTTACAGCGGAGCCCATTGACGACCTGGCCTACAAGTCAAACTACATAGACGACAATACGCCATTTGCGGACTTCAGCAAGTTTAGCGAATTCAGCGAGGACATGCTGAGTCCCAAAGTCGAGCTGACTGTCAAGGATGAGTCCTTCGTCAGGGTAAGCGAGCAGAACTGTTTATGCGAAATTCAAAATTAAAATATAAAACCCGTTTCAGAACCCCAATAGCTTTTTACGCCGTAAGCAACAATCGGATCTGACGACAGCAGAGAGCCTGCCCGTCTGCCAGCGATGCAAGGAGGTGTTCTTCAAAAAGCAGACTTACTGCGGCACGTCGCGGAGAGCAACTGCGGCATCCAGGAGTATGACTTTAAATGCACCATATGCCCTATGTCCTTCATGACCGCCGAGGAGTTACAACAGCACAAACAACAGCATCGAGCGGACAGGTTCTTCTGTCACAAGTACTGCGGAAAGCATTTTGCCACGATCGCTGAGTGCGAGTCGCACGAGTACATGCAGCACGAATACGAAAACATTGTGTGCAACGTAAGTTTCTCCTGATTGGAAGCCGCTTGTTAACTGGTTAATTGCTATATTGATTCCCCTTTGCAGATGTGCTCGGGATCTTTCGCCACGCGGGAACAACTGTATGCCCACTTGCCACAGCACAAGTTCCAGCAGCGCTTTGACTGCCCCGTATGTCGGCTGTGGTACCAAACGGCTATGGAACTGCACGAGCATCGCCTAGCTGCACCTTACTTCTGCGGTAAATACTACACAAGTGGACAATCCCCGGTCCCGTCCTCCCAACAGCAACCGCACGAGAGCCAGACGAACTACAAGCTGCAGGACTGTCATATGGCCACCATGGAAAGTAAGTTTCTATTGCCAAAGGAATGGAAAAAC